TACAAAAATCTTTTTAGGGTAGTTTCAAGACATGTTTGTGTTGGCTAACACATATCAAATGGAACACAAATATTATCAATCAAATATACTCATTTAAAAACCAAATAATTCTAGTAGTTGTGTTGGAATTCTGGTGCATCTGTACTGTTAAGCAGGGTTTCAGCTTTGATGTGTAAAATACTGGCATTTCATATATCCCTCAGAATAAAAGGAGAAAAAACACCCCAAAGATTTTGAAGTTCCAGTGTTTTTGCTGGGAATCTTTTGCTGACTTCAGCAGACACTGAATCAGGTCTCTGAATATGAGTTTTTCCCAGCTGATTTTCATAAGCTGCTTCCTGAAGTTTGCAATAAACAACTTTGTTCACATGACTTAGCCCAGAAAAAACACTTTTGAAGGCCAACTACTGTATCTTGTGTTCCTTTAGCAGTTAAGATATTTGCCAGCTCCATTCTTTCAGACAAAATATGCAAGCTTTCTTTCCAACAGCTTTGAACACTACCATTCCTGACAGTTGCATAGTTTTTGTAATTTATGCCTCAACTGTCGGTTTACATTTAATGCATCTTCACTTTAAGGCAATTTAATTAAAAAAAAAAAAAAAAGGAAAATAGAAGAATTAATCTTGTTACAAAATTGTATCTTGGCATTTGCAAACAAGAATGCTCATTCTTTTCTGCATATATAATGTGCTATAAATGGATTTTGTGCAAATGGGCAGTTTTTGAAAGGATCACTTGCTGATGGTTTTATGCATTCGTTACATTTTCCTGAAATTAATTTGTAGTGGTCATACTTTTAAGCTAAACATCAAAGACTTTATGCACCAAACAGTAAAGTACCTTACATCCTCAAAATAAACTAAACTTGGGCAGAACATTATTATATGAAACTTCTAAAACATTAAAAATAAATATTATGTATTCAGCATCCTTTAGCAATGCTTTCCTTTATAATGTTTACCACAAATGCTACAAATAGCTGTACTTTAATTATATGCTTGTCCAGGTAAGTATGTTATATTACAGAATAAAAACTTATAACCTGGCTAATTTAAATTCTGCAGTTTTGTCTGCAAAACCCTTCAGCTCCCCTGGCCACCTATCAAGAGGCTGTGTGTTGATTTTTGTTTGGTCAATCACACAGGGCAATGTAGGGCTGTAGTTTCATTAAGAGCAGTTCATCATCAGAAAGAAAGGCCTTGAATCATCACAGAACAAAAAACACATAATTTTTACTGCATACACTGAAGTACAAAACAGAAGATGGGGGGAGGTTAAAACAATGAGACAATTAGCCTCACTAATTAGTGTGGACAAATCAGTCAGCACAATGAGCAATATGATCTGCCCCACAGCAACCTATCAAGATAGTTTTTTTAGGTACTGTGGCAAAAGTTGATTTTTAACAGAAATGTTTAGAAAATAAATTTAAAAGCTTTGTATATGTATGAGCAAAGCCTTTTTGTAGAGTGGAAAGAAAAAGATTCCCGTTTGAGAAAACAACAATGAATGTTGTCATCCTTGGTTAAGCAGAGGTACAAATCAACCTCAAGTACTGAATGAAAGGAAACTGATACAGGTACTGATTGTTTATGGAAGTCCTGGAAAGCAAAAAACATCCCTACGCCAAAAAGTGCTTATGCCTCCATCCTGAGAAAAATCCCAACTCAGGCCGGTGTAACCCAAACCCTTTTGGAATATAGCAATGTCCATCCTTCAGAATGTTTTTTAAGCTGTTTCCAGAATGTGCATTTAGCACATATTATGCTTATGATAAGCACTATGACAGAGTATAATTAACAGACAGAAACCAACTGAACTCACACATATAACCATTAAAATGGACCAGCCATACACTCATCAAGAATGCCATATTCATTGTGGACACCAAGCACCCTTACATGTCAGCTGTCTGAAATTGCATTTTCATCATCCTGTTGTTGTTAGAAAAGGTCTATTGGTCCAAGAAAATAAACTGTAAAGATTAAAAGTATGAAACTTAAAGGCAAAAAGAAACCATTTATACAAGAGTGTGCATCTGTATGCTCCATTTTGAAAGCCAGGCTGTAGGCTGGTAGATCCCATTCCAGTTAACAGCTCTCTTCAGTCTTTATTCATAATACACAAATAGTAACTCCATTTCTGATCTTCCTCCTTTTGGTCATTACACAGAATGTGCAATTATGAATGAGTCTTCCAGTTTTAGTTCAGATGTTGTGGTAAAAGGTCTAACAAACACAATTTCTACATTTAAATTGTGTGAGAAATTCAATAGAAAAGGCCTGACTTTGTCATATCCAAAGTTTTTTGAGAAATACTGTCCTACAAATTTGAGCTTAGTTTGTTTGCAAGTAGTATCTTGTATTAGTGACCTCCCAAAATGCTACTACGACTTCCTGAAAACTATGCCTCCAGCCTAATTAACTTTTCCAAGCTGCCACACAGGTCTGAGGAGCTGCATTACAACCGATTCTCTTTCAAAGCTACAATTCAAATATTATAAATCATGCAGTTGATGGAATATAGATCTAGAGCTTTCACTCACATCTCTGTGTTACAGCCCAGTTTTCCCATCTGGCTGCATCTGCTCTGCAACAATCCTTCATGAAAGGACAGATTACAGATATGTCAGAGGAGCAGCCTAGAATAGCTTTTAACATTCTAAAGGGGCTGTTCAGAGTGCTCAGAACTTGGCAGCTACATGCAATTAAGACTGCCCTTTACTTAGACCACAAGATTGTAAATATCAGTTTAAAAATGCCAAACTCTCTCTCTCTCCCAAGGCAGGAATCAGTAAATTAATAACAAGTGCACTGGGATGGTGAGGGCTGGGGGGTGGCCTGAGTTGTTGGTTTTGGTTTTCCTTTTGTTTTATTCTTTCTGGTCATGGCTCAAAATCAGTGCATGAGTTTTTAAGAAGTAGTGGTTGTTAAATATTTATGATATCAAATTACACATACAACACATCATGGCTCAAAATCAGTGCATGAGATTTAAGAAGTAGTGGTTGTTAAATATTTATGATATCAAATTACACATACAACACGTAAAATATTGGAAACATCCATTCTTGAATGCATTAAAACCTCAGGCTATTTATTTTACACTAGCTACCAACTTTAAGTGGCTTTCAGAGAAGCGCCTGAATGGAGTAAATTTCAGAAAACATGCCTCAAGGTTAAAAAGAATTAGAGAACTACTTTGTATTCAACATCAAAGGCAAAAGATTGACTGGTGTGTTCTTTTAAAATTTTTTTCTAAAATTTCAAAGTTGCCTGCTCTATTTTTATTTCTGAATATGACACAGTTTAATAAAGGCTTAATTCTGCAATCCAACTCAAAACTAGCTTTAACTGTGTTCTAAATAAAGATTGGTATATTACAGATCAGATGTAGCCGGTACTTGCCAAATCCACAAATAAATAATAGCAAATGTAAAGCACAAGAATGCTGTTCCTTCACACACAAGTGAACAATCTTATTACTCTCAGTGATGGTCCTTATCAGAGCCCTCAGACCCCACACCAGATTTCATTATGGTTTTCTGTGGATAGAGCCCTTAGCCTGAGCTTCACCCACCACTTAATGGCATTAGATGGCTTTCTTAGAACCCAGGACCAGAGCTTACAGAGCATCTGTATTCCAGCTGCCAATCCAGAAATTTAGTGTTCAACTAATTTCCAGGAAAACAAACAAAAGCCAAACAACCAACCTTCTCTCACCCTCTCAGAGCACCACACAGCAAAACCAAGCTGACAATTCCCCTAGCACAGCTGTTATGTGAAAAGCTGTTGAAATGTGTTCACAGAAAGTGTTCACAGCTCAGAACACTTTCTGGTTTTGTGCAATACAATTTTCTCTTTCCAGGTGATTTGGCTGTCTGACTGAAGGCAGAAAGCCCAGCAGAATTGAAGTATTGCATGTTAAAAAAATCACAAAAGTACTTACTTCAGATCACATCTGGGATGGCTTCACAAGCACAGAACCCAAAGAAAAGCTGAAAGAATCAATTGTATCTTTATAAAAATCTAGAGAAACATACATCCTAAACTGAAAAACAGATTTTTTTTTTTAATTGAAGGTACTGTATACAAATCAGAATGCAATGACTGTTTCTTATGACAGAACCTGAACAAACTGAACCTGAGATTAGAAAAGGAAAACTAGGAAATTAAAAAAACTTTGAAACCTTTTGACACTGAAAGAACACACAGTGAATTTCAGGAGTGTCCAAACTTATGAATAAACAGCATGTAACAATTAGTATTGTGACTGCTTGTGGCACTGCTCTTCTCTGAATTAATTTGAACCTCTTCAAACAATTTTAACTGATAACTTCAGATTTCTAATATATAAACCAGATTGCATAGGAGACGAAACGCAGTTTTATAATGTAATAAATGACCTAAAAGAAAGACAGCAACTTGAAAGCAAATGGTTAAAAAATTTTTTAGCAAATAGGACTAAATATGGTGAAAGATGTTTCCCAGCCTTGGCATCCAGCAAGGGAGCCTCACTGGTGCCTGGATAAGCAGAGGAAAGCCTTGTACACAGACCTTGCTATCTCCCAGTAAAGTCGCATTTGCAACTGAAGGACATTGATAGAGATTCTCAAAATAGTGTGCTGGGGAAAAGGGGGGTGAGTTAGACTGAAAACACAGCACAGGCTTTGAGAACAAAAGGTCCTCTCACATATTTACACTTTCCAAACTCCATTGATGTATGTGAAAGAAAACACAGACGATAAATTCTCGTTCTCAGCGCACGTTTCAAGACATCACTTTAATTATTCCTATCACTTCTGTTGTCTATTGCACTCCCCCAACTTGTGAGCAACGCTTCCCATGTTTTCAGCAGCACTTTTTGTGTACCCAATGTGCAGGTGCAGCAAATACCTTGGCAAGGGGCAAAGCGATTATCACTTAAGAAAACAGTAACACTGTATAGTTCATTCTTCTTCAAGGTCTTGAGCAAAGCATAAATTCACATGAAAACGAAGTCATTGCACTTCAGGCATCAGACAGCGAACCAGGTAAGTCTTACTGCTGCTTGTAGCGCTGATCTTACCATATTTTGTAATTTATAGAATTTTTCTTTCTTTCTCTCCTGCATTTATTCAGTAATTCAATAAGTATTTTCTCAGGTCTTAAATACAGAAGTATAAAATATTTTACAATAGTGCAATATACTGAAAAGGGGATATTGTTACTAACTTGTAATTAATTTTCAGGTCAAGTCTACAAAGCTGCACTTCGTTGTTTCTGAGAACTCTGCACTTTCTGGTATGTATTTCAAAAATATGCACTGACAAATTTTTAACTTACTAAGTACTCTTGAATCCTATGCATTAATGTTGGTTATCTCATATTTCAACCTCTCTTTTAGTCTGCAGTAGTTCTTAACAGCCTTATAGTTCAAAAGAAATGGTACTGTGTAAAGAATAGAAACTTTTTATTCTCCCTAACATTCGCTTTTATATTCCAGGTTTACTCTTGCCGCAAGTGGAGTGAATCATGATCTGGCTCGTTGTTCCTTTTTCCTATGCATATACTTCTTTGAGAATTGCTTCTAAAGAGGTATAGGGCATGGGAAAATGGGGCAACTGAGGTACTCAACCACTCATCTCAGGCAGCATCGTGAAGGCAACGGCAGAAATGTTTTGAGAAAACAGATGGGCCAAGAAATGAAAGGTAAATTTATGAAACTCCCAGTTAATCCTCAAAACTTGTGTAGAAGGACACTGGCACTATTTACTCTGATCTAACATCTAAATCTTGGTTTGCTCTTAAAATCCAATTTATTACTAGAGTAATATTTTAAGCATTTCTCTAACTACATTATTTAATATGCCACTTGGTCTAATGTAAAGCACATGCATTGGTAAGAGGTTATTCCTACAGTCCTCACTCCCACAAGTCTCCAATTAAAAATAACAGAAATGCAGTCACACAAACTGCCAAAAATGCCACTCTTTGTCCCTGTCTCACAGGTGCCAGGATCGGCCGCCACTGAATCCAGGTAATGCTGACTCCCGTGTAAAGCACAGCCATGCAAATGCTGCCTAAGTGGGTTGTCTGTAATACATCAATTATTCTTAGATTTTATCCTTTAAGATCCTAAGTACCTTTTACATGATGCATACATGTGTGGAATTGCAAAGTCTTATCTTGTAAAACTCGGTTAATAGTAAATCAAATTACAAACATACTAATTTTTTTTCTTTCGTTCACCCACAGGTGTCTTGGAGGTGGAAGTAGAAGCTCTTTGCTCATTTCATTTAGTAGAAAAACAAATTTTTTATGTTTCTGTTCCATTGCTTTCATTTACTCTAATAGCAATGTGTCACATCAGTTCTGGGGGGAAAAATACTGCTGTCATGAAACAATGTAACTGTACATAATGCATGTCAAATAAATATCTAATGTTTCAGTCACAGATCAAAAGTTTGTGTTACACTGCATCACAGTTTCTAACAAGTGCTGTAAAGCTGTGAGCTCAAAAAGAGCAAAACAAGGTGCATTACAAGTCATTTTACCTAGTGGTTATTGTAATGTTACACTGCTCAAAATTAAATTAATATTTTAGAATTTACTTTTTATCTATCTATAATATAATAGTGTCAAAGGACTATTCTATTTACATATCACTTCTTTCTTACAATAAAAATTAATTTTAAAACATACATCCACAACCATATCTTTATTCACCAGTCTCATATGAAAGTTTGTGGTAAAGAGAGCTTGTAAGGGGTTTTTTGAATATAAAAAAATTAAATCTATTTATAGTCACTAAAGTCAAAATGAACCCCCAGAATTACTGCACAAGACACTGAAAAAGACTACAAAACAAAGTATAACTAGATACAACCCCCCCATATAACTTAGTTTCTCATATTTCACAGTAATTTCACATTAATATAAAATTTAAAAAGCAATTGCACCACAAAAGTGTACATTTTACCTTTAATACATCTCTTTTAAAACTTAGCCTATAACAAATCCGAGATTCCTATTAACAGGACTGCAACTGATTCCTTTTTTTCTCATGGCACAGAATGCACAGCTTAAATTCAAAGCTAACAGAAATAATAATGTCATCTTGGCCATTACCAAAAATGGGAAATAAAGTGCTTGAATTGGCAGTGAAATCTATAAAAATAGCAGGCCAAATATCAACCATAACAGTAGCAGTGGAGCAAGCAGCAAGATTGAACTGAACAACATGAACTGATAAACAAACACCTCTTTTATATGATTTTGGGGTTTTGTATGATTTGGGGTTGTTGGACTTTTTGGAATTCTTGGAATGTTTGTAAAATAATTTAACAAGAGCAAATCTAGCTCTCCCTTCTAACACCACTGATCCCACCTTCCATGGCTAAGGTGAAAACTTGGCAGGCCATAACATAACCTCTAATGGTTCTTAAACTCCAGACGTCAGTCTCTGTAAGAGTCCATAAAGTGATGAAACAACAGGACATATAAATGATAAAACTCCGAACAGGTATTGGCACCAGAGCTACCAAATCTGAAGGAGGGGTGGGACAGACATGGGACAGAGAAGCACAGATAATTTACAGGGTTTCTAACCTCTACACAGCTCATGCTTAATCTTTCAAACACAAACCACAACCAAACACAAACAACTATGCTTAAACACCTTTCTGAACAAGGCTGAAAGGAGAGTAAAAGATGTGGTTAAAGTGTGGGTGGAGAGACCTTCCCCCCGTTTTTCTTTGGCATAGTGCAAGATACACTCTAATTATAAAAAAAAAATAATTATTCTAAGAGGGAACAATAAACCTAGTACATAAGGATAGGATGATTCCATTCTGTAAGATTTAAATAAAAAGACAGAATTTTAGCTATAAATGTATTTTTCACCTCCTAAAAAGATCACGCTAAGATGAACCTACAGAACAATGTGATGAAAATAACAAAAAGAGGTACGTGTCATGTTATTGAATAAATACTCAGTGGTGTAAAATGAAGGGCTAGAAAAATGTAAAAAACATTGCAATACAAAGGAGATCAGTATTACGGATTGTACTGTTCAGCAAGTGCATCACAGTTTATATCACTGAGTTACACAGGCAGGGAAAGCTTCAATGAAGTTCCTTTGCACAAATATATTTTGTACCTGCACAAACAGGCACCGCTGCATCAGTATAATGAAAGAAATGAAAGCAGAGAAGCAGAAGTTGCTTATGCTGGCAGGACAGTTAGGAACTTCTTTGGAACTGCAATATGAATAAAAAAATTTTACCCTTCCCCTGTATCCAGTTTGCCTAATACAAAATACCCATGACAGATTTGTCCTCGAGAAAAATCTTCATCTCTGCCTATTTCAAAGACTAACAGACACTTGTAAATTAAATTCACCTCTAAATACCATCTGTCAGCCCTGCCATAAGTGACAGTGGAAAGCAATAAGGAATCATAGTTTGTACATCCAAATAGAGGGGGTTTGCTACAAAACCAACACAAATGGGAGCAACATACTATACTATGAGCACTTACATTCATTGGTTACTGAAACAGAAGCTAAATCATCAAATACTATTCCAGCATATACATGAAATTTTCTTCTTTATTTTTTTAGGAAGCCAAGGTCAACTTCATTACTCCATGTGAACAAGAGAGGTGCAGCTCTATATGAAAAACTGAGCAGATTAAACAGCTCACTGATGCTGAAAAGGAGCAGTCTGTCATACCTTTCTCCTCCTCCTGATTACCTTGGACCAATTCAGGCTAATTTTCTGAGCCTCAATTAATTCTTACCAAAGACAGAAAGAGGAAAGAGAAAAATTCTTGGCTTTGTGGTCAAAAAAAGTAAACCAGAACAAATTAAGTCGGAAAAAAATCCACCAAAACTACTTTGTATATTAGTCTTTGCTAACATCATAGGGTTTTTTCACAAAAGAACTGCAATGTAATGATAATTTACACACCATGCATGTGAGCACAGAGAGAGAAAGGAAAACAAAGCTCAATTTGGAATTAGCCCAAGTGTTCTTTTTTCTAGTACATAAGTGCTATATCAGTTTAATAATGAGCTCTAATTCCTCCATCTCTCAGTACCTGGCCGGACAGTGGGACTGCACAGAGCCCCGGGGAGGATGCGCCGAGGTTCAGCACCGCCCGGTCCTTCCCGGCCGGGGCCGCTCCGCGCCCGCGGCGCTCCCGCTGCTGCCACCGCCCGGGCGGGACGCGGAGCGGCGAACCCGGGACCACGCGGGTTCCAGAGGCAGATGGGGGAACGGAAGGACTGGATGTTTATGGAGTATATTGGGAGACAAGATCTAATGCTAGGATGGAAGAATTTGGGGCCATCAGGGTTTTTTTCCCGAGCTCTTTCCTTTCTGCAAGCCATTCATTTTAATAGTACAACCCCCTTCAGAACTTGGGCTTACAACGCTTATTCCTGTCAGTAAAATGTAGCTTTTACTACTATTGATAGTCAGCTTTGATATGCATCTACGCTGTGGATTTTTTTTTTTTTTAATGTTATCTTTGTAACTATTATCTGTCCCTTCTGAATAGTTACAAACTACCACGGGCTTATAAGTAAAAACATACTGGCATTATTCAAAATTAAATCTAGTTCATAAAACATGCCTTACAATGTGGACTGAATTTTCAGTCCAATAAACTACTACTATTTTAGCCCATACTCCTCCATTCTGCAGGACCAAAGCCTCACAGCTATAGGTAAGAGAAGCTGGACATCAAGTGAAGCGAGGAAAAAAAGAAAAAAAAAATTTGCAATTAAGAAAGCCTAGTGACACAGCAAACAGGGACAGATTTTCCATGAGATGGGCCAAAATCTCCCTGCATTTTTTTTTTCCATTCTATTATAATATGTCGAGAGGGTTAAATTAAGATTAAGCAGTATTTGAATGTTAATTCTAAAAATTAAGTATTGTTTTACATTAAAGGGAGAGAGGGGAGAAGATGATATCCATTATCTATGGCTAATTCAAGGGAGAAAAGCACTTCCCACCCAGGGACACGCGGCGCTTCCCGGCGGGCAGCGCTGCCCCAGCCCGGCCCCAGCCCGGCCGGACAGCGACACCCGGCTGGAGCAGAGGGCAAACTGCTGGAAAAGATGGCAAAAATGAAACCCTAAAAGTAGAAATTGTATTCAAAAATCAGTGTTTATTTACTAGGGAGTTACATCTCCATCTGCACATCAGTCACTTCTGACCTGGTTCTACCTCATTCTCTCCATCTGGAGAAAGTGAGGAATTATACTGACCCACTGACTGTAGAGACACCTGCATTTACTTATATAAAGCAACATATCTACTCACTACTGAATTAATCATCCTGGTTCTTCCTCCTCCCTCACATGCTTCAAGCATTGCTCTGCTCAAGTTAAAGAGCTCAGCCAACTTTTCAGTGAGCGGGTATATATCCAAATTGTCTAAAAAAAAAACATTTTATTTTCTTTCTCCCCCTGTTTCCTGCTGGCTTAGAAACCCAAATGGACTCCCTTATAGATAAGAGAGCTACCTAAACTCAGAGCATATGGGGAAAAGCATGGCCAGAAAGACAGAAGCAGGAGTGAATCAGTTCCTTCCAACAGCAGAGCTGGTAGTTCTACTCAACATGTTTCATTTAGATAGGCATGTCTGCTGTATGAGATAGAAATTAATGTAGTTTGTAACGTGTTTATCTGATAAATGTCTTTAATATTTGTTAAAATAACTGAATAACCTGTTTCCAGAGTTTTTCATTGCTAGCATACTGACAAATCCACTACATCTTCTATGCAGGAATATTTTTTGTGCTCAAACCAACACCAGAAGAATAATTGTTGCTTTGCAGGAAATTATCTTGACAACTGATGCAATGATTAAAAATATTAGCAACTATGAGACACATCATAAAGTTATTTGAAGAAGACACTTAAATAGACAATAAAAAGCAGAGCTGTGTCACCAGACGTTCTCACTGAGGGCTCTGTCAAGAAAAACTGTCATTAAATCGCAGCAGTAAAATGTGGAACAGTTGCACCTCCACTACACTTACAGCTACCATTTATATTCAAAGTTTGAGTCATCTTGGATTTTGTAGCCCAAGAGTTCATAAAAAGTGCTGATAATCAATGGAAAAATGGGATTAAATGTTTCATCACAGGTTCTGACGAATGCTAATTGCTAACCAGAAACACACGACAATTACCTTTGACTTGTAATTGCTCTCAGTTGATGGTCGCTTATGACATCCAATCACACCATCAAAGTCCTTTTAATGGGAGTTTTGCCTCAAGCCATGACCTGTATCTTATGCAAATCATCACAATGACACTCTAGGGCATGAACATTAGCATACTTTAAAATAATGTATTTCAAGCATATTTTTGCTGGTGTTTATCACCTTCACAGCCACTGATACTTCCAATTTTGTTGAGCTTCCCGTTTAGTTCTAACA